GCGAAATTAGTCAGAGAAAGGCAAATATGATTTCACTCATGTGAGAACTTTAAGAGACAAAACAGATGAACATAAGGGAAGGGCAGCAAAAATAATATAAAACAGGAAGGGGGACAAAACATAAGAGACTCTTAAATATGGAGAACAAACAGAGGGTTACTAGAGGGATTGTGGGAAGGGGATGGGCTAAATGTCTACTTCTGAAATCATTGTTGCACTATATGCTAACTAACTTGGATGTAAATTAAAAAATAAAATAAAATAAAATAATGCAGTGTTCTTAGTAAGTTCTAAGTTCTAATGCAAATAGAATGCATATTGTAATTCCTAGAGAAAAAAATAGGACATATATATAAAAGTCAATAGAAGAACTAACATGGAATTCTAAAGTTATTTAAATAACTTAAAAAGGTAAGAAAGGAAAAATAGGAGCAAAAAACGGGATAGGGAACAAATAATAAAACAAATAAATAAAACAAAAAAATAATAAAACAAATAATAAAATAGGCCCAAACTCAACCATAGTAATAACTACATTAAGCATTAGTGGACTAAATACTCCAATTAAAGAGCAGAGAATGTCAGACTGATAAAGTAAAAAAAGTAAAACCCTTGATGTGATTTAAATATAAAGAGGTTGGTAAGTTGAAGCAAATCAGTGGACGCTTACCATGAAATAGTAAGCATGAGAAGGCTGAGATGTTTGTGTTTGTACTAGATAAATTCATTTCCACCCAAGAGTATTATCAAAGATAAAAGGAGCCCTTTCTTAATGACTAAAGCATTCATTCATCAAGAACACTACAGTCATGAATATGTATGTGCCTACCAACAGACTTCAAAACACATGAAGAAAGAGTTGCCAAAATTAAAGAGAAGCACTAATTCATGATAGAAAACACTCAACAAATGTGGATAAAATCATCTAAGAAAAACTGACAGTTAACATCATACTTGATGGTGAATGACCGAACATTTTCCCTCTAAGATCAGAAATGAGACAAGAGTGCCTGTTTTCACCACTTTGCATCACCATTGTATTGGAGGTTTTAGCAAGGGCAGTTAGGCCAGAAAAAGAAATAAAAGGGACCCAGACTGTAAAGGAAGAAGTAAAACTGTCACTTTTTACAGATGACATAACCTTATCATATATGTAGAAAATTCTAAGGAATCCAGTAACTATTAGAATAAACGAGTTCAAGAAGTTTATAGTTGCAGGATGCCAAATCAATATACAAAAATCAATTGCATTTCCAAACACTAGCAATGAACAATCTGAAAGTGAATTTAAGGAAACAATTCCATTTACAATAGCATCAAAAAGAATAAAATAGGAATGGGGTGCCTGGGTGGCTCAGTCAGTTATGTGTGCACTCTTGATCTCTGCTCGGGTCTTGATCTCAGGAATGTGAGCGCAAGCCCCATGTTGGGCTCCCTCCACACTAGGCAGGAAGCCTACTTAAAAAAAGTAGTAATAAATTTTGGGGAAATGGAAGACTGGCACACTGAAATCTACAAAATATTGTTGCAAGAAACTAAAGATCTAATGAAATGGAAAGACATCTCATGTTCAAAACATTTATGGGTGTACATCAAAGGCATACAGGAGCCAACCGAAATGGCCCAAATTGAAACAATTTGAGCAACAAATTGTGTTGAATTGGATTATAACTCAAATGCAAAGTAAACATTCATGAGTCCATACTGGTTTAAATTAATGATTGAAAATAAATAAATAAATAAATGAATAAATGGGAAGAAGAGACAAATCTGTGCAAAAGATTTGGAAGTGATTTATATAGATACTCTGCCTTCAAGGAGAAGGAGCCTAACTCCCTACTCCCTTAAGTGTGTAGGCTGTGCATGGTGATTTCCTTCCAAAGCATACAGTATACGAAGGGGAAGAAAATAACAATTTTACAGTGGAGCAACCTGACAAACACATTAGCTGGGAGATCAAGGGCAACATCATCAGTAATAAATCATTGAAAGTATGTACCCTTGATATGATGTGATGAAAATGTCACTTTACCTCTGTGATCTTTCCTCCAAAATTCACAGCCCCACTCTAATTATGAGAGAAACATCAGACAATTTGCAATAGAGGGACACCCTGCAAAATACCTGACCAGTAATTTTCAAAATTGTCAAGGTTATCAAAAACAAGAAAAATCTAAAAGGAGCCTAAGTAGATACGATAGTTAAAAGTAATGTAGTTTTCTCTGTGGGATCCTGGAACAAAAAATGGACATTAGGTAAAAACTGAGGAAATCTGAATAAACTATGAGATTTAATAATGTATCATTATTGATTCATTTAATTATAACAAGTTTACCATATTAATGTAAGAAATTAGAGGGTATGGAGTATGTGGAAACTTTGTATTGTCTTCTCAATCTTTCTGTTAATCTAAAACTGTTCTTAAAAACAATGTCTAATGTAGTTATCTGTGGAAACAGTGACTCCTGAGAGTGTGTGTCTCCTTTTAGGGACAGGGTGAAATCTTTGTATAAAGGATTGTTGCATCTTATTAGATGGAAACAGTTGTTTTTTGGTTTCTTAAATGTTCAAATGTATGTGTAAGGATAAGTATGGAAGCTGAGTAGAAAAATGGGTGGAATAGGGTGCCTTGGGTAGCTCCATTGGTTAAACACCTGACTCTTGATCTCAGCTGAGGTCATGAGTTTAAGCTCCACATTGGGCTTGGGCCCCACACTGGCCATGAAGCCTACTTAGAAAAAAGGGGGGGAAAAGAAAAAGATAAAAGAAAAATGGATGGGCTGTGTTAGTGTAATGGTTCATCTTTTATTTTAAAGTTTATGTTGAGAGAGAAAGAAAGAGGACAGGGGAGGGGAAGAGGGAGAGGGAGAGAATCCCAAGCAGGCTCTGCACTGTCAGGACAGAGCCCGACATGGGTCTTGATCCTACCAACCAGGAGATCATGACCTGAACTGAAACCAAGGGTCAGATGTTCAACCAACTGAGCCACCCAGGAGCCCTGAGGCTTCGTCTTTATCTTCACCATTTAATGCTTCATCTCCAAATCCATCTTATGCCCCGCCTTATGATCCTGACCCTGTAAACATCTCTCCTTTGCCAGTTGACGCAATGTTAGGTTTGCCAATAGAGGGTGCTGGAGGGCTGCTGCGAGGCAATAGTGCAAGGCACCTCACTCGCATTTTTCAGTTTTCCTTCCTTTTCACTGAACACAGGAGTCAGTGGATTGGTGTGTGGGATAGTACAGCCTCACTTCAGCTGCCTGGACTGACCAGCTTCAGCTTTGTCCTCAGGCCCCCTCTGTCCACCTGGCAGCCAATTCCACAGCAGCTTCAGCTTCACCCATAGGTAAAAGACCACCTCCAGCCTTCTGTATCCTCTGGCCATGCTGGTCCACTTCTATGCACCAACACTGGCCCATGCCCTTTGGGAAGGGGCCAGAGATCTGCCGGCCAGATTCTGGCTCATGTTGCCTGAGGCCAGCTGGTATTACGCAGTCCCTCCTTGCAGACTACATCTCTTCCTTTCTGAACCATTAGTTAATTCATTCTTTATTGATCACTTACTAGGTGCCAGGCAGTGTTCTAATAAACACTTGTGTGCAAACAATCAAACAAAAAAAAAATCAATGCTTTAGTCACAAGGATGGCAGACATACAAAAGAATGTGCAGATGTGACAAGTCACTTATGCTAAACTCAGAGCCATGGAAGGGAAGGAATGGGACCATTGGATAGGGTGTTTGTGTTGAAGTGTCTCTGAAATTTGAACCTCCAGATTTCCCAGATCCCAGTCTCCTCCAGGAGAGGAGCTGTCTCCTGCTATAGAACAACTGCCCTTGCAAACAATCCATCTGAGGTTGATGTTTGGCAGGTTTAAGCTTGTCCTCATTAGGATCTGCTTCTTTTACCTCTCATTACTTCCACACCAGTAACCAAGATAAGGTCTCATCATAGCCTCAAAAGAGAAATTCAGTTTCTGCTCTGAGAGGAAACAGACTAGTCACTGAAGGACTTGCAGGACCTGAGTAAAATGCACTGGTATGATCCAGGGAAGATGTGTGAGGACGGATTTTGAGAGCGTTAGGTGGAGGGCAGTACAATAAGGCAGAGTAGGAGAGAATTGGCATAGGAATATTCTTCTTCAAATTAGGATTTAACATCTTGGCAAGAATACTTAGAAATGACATACTGTACACATTCTTATCAAGTTTTCATATTAGGATTCTAACATGTATACAAAAATTGGGCAAACATTAGACTAGATTTATATTCTTTGAGAACATGTGAAGTCCTCCGTCCAGTAGTCTTAGGTCATAATCAGTCATTGCACCATGCAGTTCACACTGAACTGAATGAAAGAAAAGGTAATATTTCAAGAAGAATGAACATGTCAGTTATCATATGCAAAGTGATGAGGACTGTCAAGATACTACAAATCTAGTCCCAAAATATGAGGATGATTATTGTATGCACCTTTGGGATGGATGCGAAGAATTTGAAGTCTCTACGAAATCAACTGGTCCTTAGGAGAAGAATGTCTTAATGCCTTGTTCACTTGGGATATCATGCTCATTTGTTAGAGCTGTAGATGAATAATTCTGTGATGAGGTGTAGTGGCTTCCTATGATCTTTCAATTTTTGTATTAGCAAAATTACCATGTCAATTAAAAGAACATAGTCAGGCTATTTTAAATAACTTTATTCTTAAATTTAACACACTCTTATTAGAAATGCTTTGGTATCAATACAATAAAAATATGCTGGTTTCTGCCCCCACCCCCAACAAATTGTGTCAAGTAACTGGAAAAGTTAAGCGTTTGTTCTCCCTAGCTGTTTTGGAATTTTTCACAAATAATGATTACTGCTTATCCACATGGCTTACTATGGCTATAATTATACTTTTTTTGAGTCTCAGGAAAAAGAAACAAAATATCCAGAAGGGAAGTTGGCAAATGTTTCTTAGGTTCTTCTCCAAAGGATGTTTGGGTAGATGATACACCTCTCAGATAACTTTTTTCCCCAGTTTTGCCATTCTCATCCTTAAAGCTGAAAATTGAAAAAAAAAAAAAGTTATAAAAAAAGCTTTAGTTTTCACTCTAAATGACCATTTCATAGAATGCAGGAAAGTTTGAAACATACCTCAGATGATTTTATCCAATAATGTGAGCATTGTTTTAGTAGCACAAAAAGATAGTAGAAATAATAAGCTATGGTTAACTTAGGACTGAAACAGGTTCAGAACTAGAAGGAACCTATTTCTATAAAGATTAGAAAAATTAGTAAGGCAAACACAGCATAAGTTGAGTAAATATAGGATTAGTGCACAATTTCACTATTAGCCTTAGATAAATTCCTATATGTCAGTGACTATGTTTTGTCATATTTCTGAGCTATGCACTACTAAAACTAAAAACATGACTTTAATTCATGATTGAGTTATCTTTTAGGTCATCAAAGTTGGTTATCCCAAGGGGCTCCATTCTTGGATATAGAATGACAAAAACAAATTTCTTGTGAGTGAAAAAATGTGAACCACTAATTAAGAGTTGGAATAATTATAAAATTATATCTTTGTCAAGATATGTTATAAGTATACTTTTGGGGCACCTGTATGGATCAGTTCATTAAGTGTCTGACTTTGGCTTGGGTCATGATCTCATGGTTCAAGAGTTGGAGCCCTGCATTGGGTTCTGCACTGACAATGCGTAGTCCACTTGGGATTCTTTCTCTCTCTGCCTCTCTCTCTGCCCCTCTCCCACTTGGACTCTCTCTCTCAAAATAAACTTAAAAAAAGATATACTTTCAAATGACAGTATACCTTTTAAGCATATTCCATTGCTAATAATAAATATGAAGTAGAAACCATTTTTTTAAATGTAGATTTAGAATTCACAACACTGCTCTGATGTTCTGGTATCATGTCCTTAATATTTAGGACTTTAAAGTATACTGCCTCAGTCATATTCCAAAAATTGAAAGATGCTTTCAAGGCACTGATCATTATATTCATGTGTAATATGGCCCAAGAGCCAGCTCTTTAACTGATTGCAAGATTTTATTTAATGAAAAAAATATAACAGGGAAGACATGTGTCTCATTTTCCGGTCATATATTAGTTGTCTATTAACAATGAAATGACCCCATCTCTAAGGAGCTCTTTTTTTACAAATATGAGAAGTGATGGGGGATCCAATAATGTAAAAAGACTATGATAATTTTTATTGTTATTCTACTTATATGAAATGTTTTCATTTAAATGAAGTCAAGGAGCATTATTTCCCATGGAACCTTAAGGAGAATGATCATTTCTAGTGTCAGGGTCAAGAATATTTCCTTGAATTTAGGGCTAGCTGAGAGAATTACCTTTGCTCTGTAGCCAAGAGATGTTGGATGGTCAAGCCTAAGAAGATGCCTATACTTCAACAGCAGGAAGTGAACTGAAGGCAGAAAGCAAGGCTTTATATTTTCTACTCTTGGATTTTATGGACCTCTGCCTTGGCCATACCAAAAAAAAGAGAGCAGGGGAAAAGTCCATTTTAATGGACTTTTTAAAGGTATCTTTTAAGGCAGGGACAAAGTCTTCCTCTTTACAATTACTCCTCAACTTGAGATTCAGTAAATCAGGCACAGCCTTGGTGCTATGGACATTCAGTGAAGTTCTTGAAAGACATCCTGGATGTGCACATCCTCAGGAGTGAGGTAATCCAGTAGCTCACTGTCCCATTTCTTTAGGGGTAAAAAAAAGAATTCTAGATTGTAACTGTCTGCTATTTTTTCTTGTGGCCTATGGCAAGTAGATGGTGTGAGTTTCAAGTGGATGTGTAGGGCTGGAGCATGTTGACAATAGGCAGGTGTAGCAGGTAAAAAAAATCTGGGCCCTCAGCTCCCCTTTTTATTCCTCCTTTCTGCTCTTTTCTGATCTTTACTTGCTCTCCCCACAGCAATTCAGACATATAGTTTTGGCTGGTTGAACGTGGTGGAAGAGAGCTTGCCTCCTTACACTCAGCATTCCTTGCTTCCTAATGATTGCCACAGGTTGGCAATTTTGACACCAGGAGCATGTGAATCCCTTGGAGCTGAGGTCCCCCACCTCTATCATCCTGAAGTGATGCTGACATATCTAAGAGGGGTGACTAGATCTAGGAGTACAAGAAGAGGTTGGCAAGGACTATCAAAGAAAGCCAGCTGCCTAGTTGGTGGGAATAGTAGAGGAGTCCCAGTAAAAGCGCACTGGGGCAACTCACTGGTGGATGTGTGTGGCATTAAGCTATACTTTAGAACATGACCATTTTATATTTACATTAGCCAATGGACTTTGCTGAATTTTCTTGTCATGACTTCACCCGTTCAAAAGTTTTGACTGAGACATTTGGATCTTCACTTTCTCCCCTCTTTCTTACTCCTTTGTGCTCTTTTCCTAATTCAAAATTGCTCTTAGATAAGGCTCTCATAACAACATTTACACTAAGAAAAAAGAGACTAATAATTCTTAACTATTAGGCTTTCCAAGAATATTTATATTTAGTAGGTGACCTATACCATAAGTAAAGAAATTGACTGAAATGATGGATTTTCAAGTATTTCAGTAAGCATTTTTGCAGTTTTAGGGGAGAAGCTCAACCTATGTGGTGCTTGTGAAATTGAATTGCATAGGTGGCTATATATTCTATGTATGGGAATGCCTTCTGGGGGTGAGAGCATATGTCAGTATGATGTGCTTATTTAAAAAACCCATTTAAAAATATAGCAGCTCTATAATCCATGCACTGAATTGGAAAACAGGAATGTAAAACAATATCATGATGGAAGGCAAGGAATTTGGAGCATTCTGTTTATAATAGGCTTTGATTGATAGTACAGAACTTTGTATTGTTACTTTGTCTGGAAAAGGTCTTCCTGTTTTCATTATTTTAGTTCAGTGGCATGATTAGTGTTGTCTGGAAACATTAGTCACTTCCTGTCTTTTTCTGTGGGGTAAATGTGTTGACATGGGTAGGGAAGAAGGAATAGGGGCATTCAGGAGGAGGTGGCTAACATCCAAGTGCAAAAATGGAAGATTTTATAGTAGGGAATGTCACTATTCTTGACCATAATCAATGTGTTCCTTCTCTTCTAAGTCTACTGTGTTGTTCTTTTTTTTTATATTAAAAATTTTTTTAACATTTTTTTATTATTGAGAGATAGAGAGAGACAAACTGTTAGCAGGGGAGGGGCAGAGAGAGAGGGAGACACAGAATCAGAAGCAGGCTCCAGGCTCTGAGCTGTCAGCACAGAGCCCGACATGGGGCTCAAACTCACAAACTGAGAGATCATGACCTGAGCCGAAGTCAGACGCTTAACCACTGAGCCACCCAGGCACCCGTACTGTGTTGTTCTTTTAAAAATGAATTTAATTTACAAAATCTTATTAGCAAGCAAAACTCATTCTCAAAATGGAAAGGAACTTTTAGTTTTAGCAGGTTTTCATTGTGGGGATGTATCACACAGCTCTGATTTAGAAAGGTAAGTGTACATTTACCAACAGGTTAGAAATTCTTCAGATAATTAAAATTTCGGTTGGTATGCCTAATTTAACTACTTAAAAGAATGGAAGAGGCCCATTTGCTTGTGTTATTGTCAACCCAAAATTTAGCTTAAGGGTTGCAAAAGAACACTTCCTCACTTGTGCAAGTACTACCACACTTCTATAGAATTATCAAGTTCTGTTTGCTGAATTAGCTGGAGCTTAACATTTATTGCTTTTTAATGAGAATCTTTCCACTAGAAACATTTAAAATTATCATCCCACTAACACATTCAGAACCTATATGTCTGAGTAATTTGACTTAGGTCTTTAGCTAAGGTTAAGTAGAGCTATTATAATTAATTTTGTCAGAATCTTATTTATTTTTTTATAAATGAGAAGTAGAATATGATATTCAAGCGATAACAAGGAATTTAAAATTGATGAGCTGTCACTTTTGTAGAAAAAAGTGTAATTTTCCATTGAATGCTAAAAAAGCTAGATAGCTATAAAACTTTATAGAAACCGAGAAGTGTAAATAGAAAATAGAAAAAAATAGAAAAAAAATTGCTAAGTTAGGGAAGACTATGGAAAGTTAGATGTTATAGATAATGCAAGAGAAATTGGCATTCTGTTTTAAAATGTAGAAAAATTAAGGAAGTAAAGTTAAACTATAAAAGCATAGGGAAATGAGATATAGCAAAGTAATAAAATATCACACTGAATAAAACTTGTTTCTTGTTTTTTCTTGCAAAATTAAGGCAACTTGTTAACTTAAGTAGGAAGTTTAAATAACAGGCACAAACAAGTAGCTGGCATCAGATTCTGGTGGGAAAAGATATGATATAGATGATTCAGTATATTAGTAATCCAAATACATTCACAAGCAGTACCGTACTGTGACAGAAGACACACTTCAAGTTTCTAAGGTCAATCAATGCAATATCCAAATAAGGCAACAACTGTTGTTTTTTTTTTTTCATTTTATCTTTTGAAGTGACTTAATCAGATCATTATTAATTAAAGAAAAGAAAAAAACCCTTGGTGTGTATTATTCTATGAGGTGGTCAAAAAAAGCTGAAAGCAAGAGGGCTTGTTAACACAAAAGGAAGATTGTCACACGATTAAACAGCAGTGGCAAGCCTTGTTATTTTCATTACCTGTTAAGGACGGGTCCTCAGTCCCATCTCCAGCTATCTGAACATCAAGTGGAGAATGTTGAACCGGGTTGCCTAAGCTTTCTTCTTGCTCTTTCCAGGATATGGAATTTTTGTGGGGAGATTTGTGGTTTGTGTTTTCATAGGGATTAATTTCTGATCTCTTTCTAGGAAGTGGTGTTGGTTTGGCAGGCTGGTAAACCTGACTGTAGGGAGCTACAGGATGGTAGGATGGTTTCTCAGCTTCTCCTTCACCCTCCTCCTCCTCATCATCAATCACAACCAGCTCAGCATGGATGATCCCATCATACCCTGTCAGAAGCTTCTTTTCTTCTTCATTGTCTTCTGCCTGCTGGTAGCCCATGAAAATCATTGTCACGGGTTCTGTATCAGCCATGTCAGAGGGTAAGGAATGAACGATTTTGTATCTGATATCTTCCTCATCCTCCTGGCAAGCAGGAGAAGAATCCTGGTATTTTGGCTTCCCAGCTATTGCTTCGCTGGGACTCATTCTTGCCTTTGGAGAGGGTGAATATTTGTCCTGCATCACATTTGATTCTTCCCAAGGAGTCATCAGCCTCTTTTGTAGGGTGTCGGGCATCTCCTTGGCTTGTTGAGTCATTGATCGGGGTTGAGGTATCGGTCGAACAGGGCTGATATGATTGAAGCTGTTGTCCCTCTCCTCTGAAAGTCCATTGTCCATAGTGTATACAGATTCATTCATATCATTACCTAGTCCGTTAGCTTTCATCTTTATCCTTTCTTGAAAATTTGGTCCAGGAGTTATCTTCTCCCTCTGTGGAGTTGTAGGCCTGCAAAATGGATTGGCATATACAGGCTCATGATACTCTGTTGGAGATTTAGAGTTTCTCTCTGAGGCTTGTCTTAAAAGTTCCTCTACCTCAACTGGTGCCAGGCCATCGGTGCCATTGTATGCTGCACCATGATTACAGCTTACTGCATATACTGACTTCTGCCCGTCGTCGTAAACTTTTATTCCTGTACCTTTAAAGTCATCTGATGGGAGAGGTATAGAAGACAGGACTGTACTTTCTCCAGTTTTCAAGTCTTTTTCAACTTTAATTTCCATGGCATACAAAGCTGTCAGGAGAGAAATTTGATCTTTGATTTAGTTAACTTTTTCTCTTATACAGTAGCCTGCTTTCACAATGTATTTTTATGTTAAGTATACCCTTTGATATTCTTTCATGTGAGATGCTGTTGTCTGTTTTTAAAATTTTTGATTTTATTCATTGATTGTATAAGGTCAATCAATGTAAAGGCCAGCACCGTAATGACCTAGGTTTTTATGTAAGGATGTATGGAATTACTGAAAAAATGGGACTGAAAAGCTGGTTGGAGAAGAGAAGCTGATGATTCCATTGGGAAACCAGAAAATATCCTCTTTGTAACTAATAAATCCAACAAGACAGATCGCACTCTTACATTATCCAATGGGAGGAGTCGGACCTCTTTGTTAGCTAGGAAGAATGGGTTGCACCAGGCATTACAGCAGGTAAAAGGTCTAGCATGGTATATTTTATTAAGTCACATCCTTGCTGTGTGGGCCAGCAGCCTGCTGAAATCATAGAGGAGTGTTCTAAAGTTTTCACAGCAGGGAAGCTGTTTAAATGTAGAACTGGTATTGAAGAGGGAGGAGGAAGGCAAGAATCACATGCTTCTCCTTCTGCCTTCTTTTTGTGTTTCTTTCATTCCAATTTTCAAGTAGGAGGAAAAAAATAGAGCAATATAAGCTGAACTGAAGCAAGTGAACTGGAGAGCACTGCGTGGATGAGCCCTGCTTCAAGGCGCAGGCAAATTCCTCATGACTGGAGTTTTAAGAACTATTAGGAATCTGGGCCCAATTACAATGTGGCAGTGCTTTGGCTTCTGCTCTGGCCTCCCACTTTCCTTTTTGGACCCATCTTGATTTCATACCTCCTTGGTAGCCCGGTGGTTCTTGGCTCCCCCCAGCTACCCAACTAAAACTGCAACCCTCCCCATTCCCACTCTCCATGTCCCCCACCTCTGTTTTATTCTTTAGTATTTTCACAGCCTAATTTGGTATTTTTAATCTATTTACTTAATTTTAGGTCTGTTTTCTCCTTTAGGATGTCAGCTCCAAGAAGGCAGAGATTTTTGCTGTTTTATTCACTACTGTATTCCTAGTGCAAGAACTGAGCTTGCCCTGTAGTATGTGGTCACTAAATATTTGTTGAATATTTAAATGAATGACTGCTACCTGCTTATAGAGTGTAGCTTCCTTTTCTGGTCTGAAATTCAAAGGTTCCATCTCTGGCCCCATACAAGCCTTCATTTTTTCTGGAGTCTTGGAAGTATTAGTTTTATGAAAACCATTCCACATGGGGGTAAATAATGCCTAACTTTTCCAAGGGATATTTTTACTTTCATAAAGGATCTTAGTAATCTAAGAGATTGCCTACTAGATGGAATATTTGGGGAGAGATATTTTTGAGCAGGGGAGCTTTGCTTTTAAGAGTTTGTCTTTCTCAATCCTTTATCTTCTCTGTCCCTATAACTCCATTATCCCTACCTATGCAAGTGACTCAGATACCTCATGGAACTTTATAAAATGGACTGTTGCTTAACCTGAAGCATCAGATGTAACAGCAGGTTGTTAATATCTGACATTATAAAATCTGAATTTGAGAACCTGCCTTTGGATACAGATTTTTCATGTACCTTTTCTATTCTGTTCATCATCTTCTGTTCCTTCATTTCTTTCCTTCCTTAATCTGGAAGGCACATAGGATTTTGGAAGGTCAGGGATATTAGCATAGATGTCTTCAATTGACTCTGTAAAATTAATATTAATTCAAAATACATTTAGAATATATTTACAATAATGGGAAATGTTTCTGTGGGTTTATTAAAAAATGTAGTTAGACATAGAATAGACTGCTCAAAAACATACCTTCTGATGTTTCTTCCATTTCCACCTTCACAGACTATAAGAAAAAGAGTTCTCCATGATTAAAACAGTTCAGTTTAAAACAAATTCTAAATGTGGATATAGTTTGAAGAATTATATACTGTTTGTAGACTCATTCTGGGAGGGACTTATAGTTTTAAATGTTAATGCTCACCCTTATTATGTCTTCTGTTGTCCTCTCAATTGATTTCAGTTTCTTCAAAATTGCCTCTTCATTGATTGAGATTTGCAGCTCAGCCTTTTCAAGATCTTGGATCTCCTTCTCAAGTCTGACAACAGAAAGATGCACTTTTTACTGCTTACGACAGTACAAACGTAGAGTTCCCAAATATGTCTTCTCCATATATAAACTTTCCTTGGAATATTGCATGTAAATATCCAGATACCTTTTAAGAACATAGCATTACACTAACCATCAGGTTTAGTACATAGAAGGTACATAACACCTGACTTTGATGTAACAATCTTCAAGTTAAAACAAACATCTTTTTTTTCCTTAGGTAAACTATTTGAACCTTGCCTCATTTTCTTCTTTGCAATTACAAATGTTATTTCCAAATGAAATAGAGAAATTTCTTTTATAAAGAGACTTAAGTTTGAAGTTGAGCCACAAGGTATGGTTCATCTGTAGTTATTACCTAGGTTACCGATTTTTCTTACCTGAGTCTCCATATTATTTGGAGAAAACATTATAATAATTTTTTTGTAGCTAATCAGCACTTTATAAGATTATAATTATTAGACTTAATTTAATAATCAAAACTATCACTTCCCAAACCCTGTATATCCTAACATTGAAAATGACACTTCATTTTAACTTCACAGTTTCCTAAGAATTGTGACATACTGTAGTGAATAGGGTGGAGAGATGAGAAACGGACAAAACTTAGTATGATGGCCTCAGATGCTGCTGTTTATAGAGCCTACATTTTCTGAAAAACAAAAAACAAAAAACAAAACAACAACAATAAAAAAACCCACACATGGCCTAATGAAGTGTAAGGGAACTTATTGGGGCCAAGAGAGAGCCATTTGAAATTGGACTGTTGCAAACATTCTGACCTGGAATCTTGACCAGAGTGCAGCTGCTTGTCAGATTCAAGTTAACATCGGGGTGTGATGTCGTGACCTCTTCCTTTATAAAAACATACAGCCACCAGCATTCATGCAGTTAGTAAGACTGACCCTTGGCTGCCATGGATTACATGTAGTTTCTCAGCCAAATACTCTATGTTGTAAAGTCAGCTGCCTCAGAGGATGGCTGATTAGATAGAGCAGCTAGTCCAGGAGGTGACAGCCATGGGTATTAGCATCTGCTATGATAATTGTCAGTTTTTGGCTTCCTTCTTTAAGATGGTTATGGATTTGGCAGTGCAAAAATATTGTGCTATTGGGGTGCCTGGGTGGCTCAGATGGTTAAGTGTCTGACTTCGGCTCAGGTCATGATCTCATGGTTCATGAGTTTGAGCCCCACGACAGGCTCTGTGCTGACAGCTCAGAGCCTGGAGCCTGCTTTGGATTCTGTGTCTCCCTTTCTCTCTGCCCCTTCCCCCCTCATGTACATGCTCTCTCAAAAAATAAACATTAAAAAAAATTTTAAAAATATTGTGTTATTGTCACACCAATAAAAGCCCAAGGTGTGGTCTGCCTGACCATTCTCCCACTCATTGCTACAGTTGCAAAGTTCTGACTTTCCTGCTGCTGCTGGCCATTGGTAGTTGGCCATTTGTAGCTAAAGAAGTTTTCTCACCTATTATAGAATTCCAAGTAAAATATAGTACTTCGGGTTTCTTAGAAGTTACTGAGGTGTGACTGACATTCTATTAAAATCAGTCTCCATCCATGGTAGCACATCTGTCCATCAGTAGAGTTGTGGGGATATATGTTGGTTGGTAGAATGGAAAGGTCCATACTAAAAGCGATAGATCTGGATTATTCTGTGTCTGCTATTCACTGCTTGTGACAACCAATTCCTTTAAACTCCCTGAAACTCGGTTTTATAACATGTACAATGAGAATATGGTACCTGCCTTAAATTTTATACAGAAATTTGGTGAAGTTAAGAAGAGATGATGTATATGAGCACATTGAATATGGTTGATATCGGATATGTATTATTATGGTATAATCATTAAAGGTTTTCTACAACACACAGTGTCTCTTTCTCCTCCCATGCCCTGTCTCACGGGATCCTTTATCCAACAGCATGTTAGAGACAGTCTAATGAGGATCTTTTGAATAGAAAACAAGGATGATTATATCATTGCTGCAAGCAGCTTTTAGACTGCAGGATTCAGCTGTGGAACCGGATGGATCTGGGTTTGAATACTGGTTCATCTTCTAACTTCTTGTGTGACCCTAGACAAGTCACCAGACCTTGCTAAGGCTCATTATCTTCATTCATTTCATTTATTCATTTGTTCAAGAAAAATATTTGTTTAGCATCTATTTTGTAGCAGGCACAATCTTATGTGCTAGGTATATGACAGTAAACCAAACAAATTCCTGGCCCCAAGAAGTTTATATTCTAGTGGGAGGACACCGACAATACACTAACAGAGGAGCTGGCAACTTTTTCTATAAAGGGCCAGATAGTTAGTTAATTAATTCATTAAAAATTAATTAATTTTAGGCTTTACAGGCCACACATACAATTTCTTTTGCTTATTTATCTTTTTTTCCCTTTTACATCCCTTTAATAATAATAATAATAATAATAATAATAAAAACCATTCCTAGCTTGTGGCTATATAGAAATAGGCCAGGGCTAAATTTTGTCCTGGGTCATAGTTTGCCAACTCCTGCAAATGTATATACATACATATTTACATATGTATATGTAAATACATATACACACATTTATTTATGAAGAAAAATACTTCCATTAAAAAGTAGGATAAAGTAGGATAAGGACTATAAACATAAGGGTAAAGGGATGAAGAGTGCCTGGGGAGGAGGCACTGTTTGCACAGTGTGGTCAGGGAGGGGCTACTTGACAAAGCGTCATTTGAGCAGAGATATGAAGGAAGCGAGAGAAGGGTACATGAGGGTGGTAGGGGAAGTGCTTTCTGGAGAGGTAAGAATAATCACAAAACTCAGGGTAAGAGCACGGGGAATAAGCAGAGTGGTAAGAAATGAAGTCAGAGAGGTGACAGGTGACTAGATCATATGGGGCCTAATGTATGGTAAGGCCTTTAGGGAACCACAGGGAATACTGAGCAGAAGACAAAACATGTCATGACCTGAAATTTAAACAATCACATTGGCTGCTGTGTGGAGAATAGGCTGGAGGGGAAAACCACGGAGGTCAGTAGTTGTAACACTTCACAGAAGATGGCTTAATTCAGGGGGGTTGCTGGTAGAAGGGTGAGAGGCGATTAGAATCTGGAAATATTTTGAAGGAAGAGTTGCCAGGATTTGTTGATACATTACATGTGGGGTGTGAGAAAAAGAGAGATGTCAAGGGTGAGTCTGATGTTTGTGAATAATTGGAAAGATGTGAATTTAATTGCTCGGACAGAAATCTGGGAGGGAGAAGAAAGAGAGTGGTGCTGGATGTGGTAACTTCGAGATAGTCAATGGTGACATGGAGAAAACAGACAAAAAACGTTGGGAGCTCAGAGAAGTCTGGGTTTGAATGTAAATTTGGGAGTTGGTATGTATAGCCATAGGCGCGGATAAGATTTCCTAGAAAGTCAGGGCTTCCAAGGACTGAATCCTGGAAAAATTAAACATTTAGAGATCTGGGCAATGTTACTACTTCATAGGGTTTAATAAAGAATTAAAGAAATAGCATGCACTCAGCAAAAGCTAGTTTCCTCCAGTTTCCGCTCCTTTCTATAGCTGGGGCACAGAGATAGATTCTTGATCTGTTTGGCCAATTACATCTCAGGGAATTAGAAATGCACTGGTATTTATAGTTGTTTTCCTCTGTAGAGAGGCCCATGGGTAGTGTAATGCCATATGATTCTCATGGATGTCTTTAGACTAATATGGTAAGAATACAAGGTTGAAAGTCTGCTAACCTCATCAAAGTATCTGCTAATGAATGTTTTTGAAGGTTTTCAAGTCACTGGGTGAAAGATGCATTAATATGAGGTTGCAGTCAAATGACATATCAGGCATGTTTATTAAAACCAAACAGAAACAAACGAACACCCCCTTTCTCTTCTTTATCATTTAGTTACAGCCAGCTCTCTGTTACACAGGATAAGAAGGAATCCTTTTGGTGCTAATTACTTAGAATCACAAACCTCTACAGGAGATGCTTAGTGATACAGAGCATTTCCTAAAATTCTCACTCAAATGCAAAACTCTATATCCTATTTTTATATGTTGATTTGATACTTCTATATATTATTTATGGACAATATAAATAAGATCAAAAGATAAATGTTACACATTTGTTGTTCTAGAAAAGCATTCTGACAGATCAGAATGCCAGTGGAAGTGATGGGAAACCCAGGAAAGAATAACAGAGCATGGAACTGGCTTTAGCCAGCCTCCCCCTCACAGGGTCGGAACTGAGAGGGGAAAGCATGGTGGCAGTCCGGCAATGGAAGAAGAGGAGGTCTAACAACCTCCACACCAAGGAGGAGGAAATGTGCCTCCTCCCTGGAAAATGTGCCAAGTTTTTGAGGATTGCCTGTTCTTAAGGAACATAAAACAAAAATTGCAACTGGTACGTAGGCACTATTTTTGTATCTCTAGCATGGTGGGTCTCACTGACAGTGATTTCCCCGTGAGGACATCTGGCAATGCTGGAGACATTTTGGTTGTCACAACTTGAGGACTGCTACTGACACCTAGTGGGTGGAGGCCAGAGATGCTGCTAAACATCCTACATGCACAGAACAGTCGCCCAACAAAGACTTATCTGGCCTAAAATGTCAATGGCGCTGAGGTTGGGAAGCCTAAAACAATGCCCAGCTAGTATAGTAGGTACTTGATACATGCTTCATAAGGGATTTTTAAAATATCTGTCTCTCTGATAGTTTTACTTTTTCCTCCTTGTTTCTCTTTTCTCATTTACATAATATGGAATCCAAACTATTATTTGTTGAATAAATTTGATCATCTGTATTTTTATTTAATATTACCATTTGGGTTAACTTCCTTTTCAAATTTCTCTGTATCTATATCTATATTAATTTCTTTTTCTGGCTCAGTGACTCTTCATAGTTAGGAGGATACTCAACTCTTTATTTAAAGCTCAGAAAAATTCAGGGCTTAAATTAGCGACTCATATGTAATCCTTTTCCAAAAGCTT